GCCCTTCGGCTCCCTCTAGTTCCCTCCGACTGGGAAAGAGAAGGGATTCCCAGGATTCCTGGAGCACCCTGCGCCCCTGCTCGGGGGTCGCTTTTCGTCCATTTTGCTCCCCCAGCATAGGGATTGGATTTTGCTTTCGTATCCGCGAGCCCGGCGGGGGCCGCTTCCGGCCGCCCTGACCGGGAAATTCCCGTCGTTGCCATGGCACCCGGCACTTGTTGCGGGGGGCGGCCTCCCGCGGCACCCGGCCAGGGGGTGCGCAGCATCCCAGCCCGCGCGGCGCGCGGCGGAGTGGAGACTTCGCTGCTCTCCAACCGTAGCCTCCCGCCCGGTCAGGCCTTCCCCCTTGGTCTCGGGGAACGGGGGGTCCAAGTCATGAACGGATAACACATTCACTCGAGGGGTAGCTTTTAACAGTACTTTCTGTTTCAGATTTCAGATACTCAGACTCCACCTTTACTTTTACCTACGTTGGCGGCCCGAAAAGGTATTTGTGTGGAGAGTTGCTTCATTTCCTGTTCACACGCTTGTGTTTCCTTTGTTCTAAGCGTGTTCCTTGTTCGGGTATTTTGTTTGCTTGTTTGTTTGATTATTGTTCTGATTCTGAAGCCACATCTCAGGCCTGATGTCCCTCGGTTTTAAATTAACACCAGGGAAATAAATATGTTTGATTCAGCTCTAAGACCACGCCACGGGCGGTGAGCATAACTCTTGGTGTTAAAACTGTTCTGCTACAGTAGTAGACGGCTTTTGCGATCTTGCTACAGTCAGGCGTGTGGAAAAATGGATTACTGGGAGGAAGCGAAATGCTTAAAAGACAGAAGATGTCACAAAATACTTTCATCGCAAGTGGTGATTTTCGTGGTGAATTGGGGCTGCATGTTTCCCGGTTTTTTGAAGGTTGGCATAAATATGCAGTCTGCCAATTCTCCCCACATTTTTTTTTTCTTCAAGGAGTGGTATTTTGTTTTTTTCACATTTAGTGGTAGGAAAGAATTTGGAGAGTTAATGCAGCTGTTGTGGATGAGTGACTTCTTTGGGGAGAGGAATGAGAGATGCACATTTCAATACTGAATTCTGAGCCATTTGAAACACACTCAAATCCAATTTCTTATTTAGGAAGGGAGATAAAATGAAAGTTAAAATGAATAGATACTGCTGCCTTCTCTTGCTAAGTTAGGATTCTCTTTCTTTTAATCCTTTAGGGACACTGGTTTAAAAGAGCAGTGGCCACGGGAGAAAACTGTCAGAGGTTTAGTTTGGGTCCTCAACCACTCTGGTTGCACTTTAGAAGCACTTGGGGAGCTTTCTGAATTTTTGAGGTCAGAGCCCAGTCAGGGACCAGTTCCATCAGGATCTCCGGGTGGGAGGGAGCCTGTCTTCCACCCTTGCAGTCCAGAGCCTCCCAGGTAACTTCAGAGAGCAGCCACCTTGAGAACCCCTGGCCTGGAGGGATTCCTCACATCAGCCCGGCTGTCAGGACTTGACATTCAATGTTATTTGACCACATTCCAAAATATCTCTTAGCTAATGGAAACATTTATGAGCTTATAAATTGCAAAAGAAGCTTTCTTTTGTAAATACATTTTAAAAGCTTGGAATTAATGTGAACTTTAAAATACTTAGAATCTTTGCTGTATTCTTCTACATCTTGAAACAACTTTAATTAAAATGAGTATCAGAAAAAAAAATATCTGGTTTTGGTACGTACAATATACCTAAACCCCAGAATGGGTATATTGGTTTATTAGCTGAAAATAAAACAGTGAACCACCAAACTTCAGTATATACTTTTTGGGAGAGATCAAAATCATAATATTTCTTTACTTATACTGTAACACCATCATCTGTGTAATTGTTAATAAAAACATCAGAGGAGATTGGATTAAATTAACATTACTCCAAGGGATGTTGGTATATGACTAATATCCTCCGGCATTATTTTTAAGAGTTAAAATATGCTATGTGGCCCACTGATAACTTAAGAGTCGTCTGTGTTCACGATTGTTGCTGTTCTCCTGAGTCAGACTGGTGGACAGAAAAGCCCTGAGTGGGCTCTTCAACTAACCGGCTTTCTCATTTTTCAGTAAGATAGTTCAGTTCTTTTGGCCTCAGTTTACCTATCTGGATGGTAAGGGGTAAACTTTGCCTGTATTCTCTAAGGTCCATTAGATACTGTAGTTAAGATTATTTATCAGCAAATTATTGAATTAGTGTTAACATAGCTAGAGGTGGAGGAGGGAGCAGGCCAGGGTGCTGGGATGAATAATTAACTAATCAAGATAACATCAGTTTTCAGGGTACAAACAAGTAGGATATGCTTGTTCTAAAGTAAGAGATGTTTCCTTTCCCATGTAATCCTATTAAGGGATAGTTTTTGTTGTTGTTGTTGTTGTTTGTTTTTTGTTTTCATCACCGAGTTAAATGTATCTGAATTCTCAGCTCTTTGCCCAAGATCAAGTGCCAATGTATGTGAGCCTTGTGTATCTAACGTGGAACAACTTGTTAAAAGCGAAAGACAGCTGGTGCTGGTTAAAATGCTGACCTGAAGCTTGTATATAAAAAGTTGTCATGCATAGTCAAGGTAGATTATCCCTTTACGGTTTGTACCTAATGGGAGAGAAGACATTTTTTTCCTGAAAATAAAGTGTCTTTGGTTTTTATTACTGATATTAGAAACCGGTATTGATTATCTGTTTCTCATCCTGACATTTTAGACATTTAGAATTAAAATAATCCTGCTCTATTTTGATTTAATGTGCAGATCAATTACAATACTAAGTGACTAGTGCCATTTCAGGCAAACTAGAGGTACTTCACCACTGGAGGAAGTGGGAGAGTGGGAGTCTTATGAGTTCTACATGATTATCTTGAACTGCATTTAACTACCATTTCATCTGAACCATTGAGAATATATTTTGAGAATAATTTTTAATTCAAGTAGTAGATAAAACTTAATATACCATTTCCTCTTTGACACGTTCCAAAAATGAGTTATGTAGTATAATGAAGACAGGCTGATCTTACGTGTTGATGTTCAAAAAATAGTACTGAGAATTTTGTTCTACATGTACACTTTTTAATGTTTCCATGGATGAGAAGAAATGTTTAAGAGGTGATTGTGGTCTGTGTTGGCCAGGGGCCTAATAAATTGACCTTTTATTCTTTGGTTCTTAGAAGGGCAGTTTAATATCTGCCCTTCTGCCATATGGACTGAGGTGAGGGGTGAGGAGTCAGATGGTCAGCTCTGATTTTTCCTAATGAGAAGTTCATGAAATATTTTCACTTTTTTGATGTGCAAACCGAGGCTTAGACACATAGCCAAATTCACCCAGTTAAATGATGGATCTTCCATGTAAACCCTATTTTATCAAACCCCCAAGACCCAGGTTCCTTCTTCTACATTACTGTTCTCAACTTTTTCTTTACTTTTGTTTCTTTCTTTCTTTTCTTTTTTTTGGGACAGAGTCTCACATGTTGCCCTCAGTAGAGTGCTGTGGCATCACAGCTCACAGCAACCTCTTACTCTTGGACTTAAGCAATTCTCTTGCTTCAGCCTCCCAAATAGCTGGGACTACAGGTGCCCGCCACAATGCCCAGCTATTTTTTTGTTGCAGTTGTCATTGTTCTTTTAGCTGGCCTAGGCTGTGGTCATGGATAGTTTGGCGTCTTTTGAAGTGTATCCTCCTTGTTTATAAGGGGTTTCTGTCCAGGTAAATAAGTATCAAGTGGGATATCAACAAGAGTACTCTAAAATTCCTCAAAAGTACCTGCTACCTCTTCTTTCTCTGGGTCTTTGCACATGCTGCCTGGAACACTGACTCACATTTTAACCTCCTTGCTCTTTCATGCCGACTCAGCTCTCATTGTTGAGATCTTTGCTATCCCAAATTGTCCTGTGAGGCCTTTCCTGGCATCTTAATCTGAATGATTCTGATACATGTTTCTTAAAAAAAAAAAAAAAGAAAAAATTTATACAGCCCAAAGAGTAACTAGGAGTTTCTACAACCATGTTGTCACATTAGAATTGCCAGTTTACAGCTGTTTGACTTTGAGCCTCTTAGAGATGGCAATTTTATGCAATTCATTGCGTTTCCCCCAGCCCCTAGCATATTGTCTAGTCCAGCATTTCTTTCTCAGTAGGTAAATATTGAATGATTTTCAAAATGAATATGAGAAAGGCCAGGCACAGTGGCTCAAGTCTGTAATTCTAGCACTCCGGGAGGCCGAGGCGGGCGGGTGGATTGCCTGAGCTCACGTGTTCCAGACCCATCTGAGCAAGAGCAAAACCTCATCTCTAAAGAAAAAAAGAATAGCCGGGCGTTGTGGTGGGTGCCTGTAGTCCTAGCTACTCGGGAGGCTGAGGCAAGTGAATCACTTAAGACTAAGAGTTTGAGGCTGCTGTGAGCTATGAGGCCACGGCACTACAGAGGGCAACAAAGTGAGACTGTGTCTCAAAAAAAAATGGGAGAAGATCTGGCAGGTGAGAAGGAATTCTTTAGCCTAAATGACCATGTATGGAGCTCAAACACTTTAACAGTCCTTGGTGTGATGACGTCACTTGCAAGGGAACCTCATATGAATCCAGAATGACAGAAGTTGCTTAGCCAAGTTGTAAGTCCTGTCCTCTGGGTCACATGTTCAAATACTTTCAGAGGCCTGGTGGTAATTATTTAGGATTATAGGGAATGATCAGGACTGTGGTATAGTGAAGAGTTTGGATTCAAAATAATTGATGTGTAGGTCGGCGCCTGTGGCTCAAAGGAGTAGGGTGCCGACCCCATATGCCAGAGGTGGCGGGTTCAAACCCAGCCCTGGCCAAAAACTGCAAAAAAAAAAAAGAATTAAAAAAAAAAAAGCAGAATTGATTTCTAGGAAAAAAATCAACACTACTGTGGTGATCAAGGGAACTTTCTAGGGTCCCTAACCCTCCTGGACCCCCAATATAAAATTCTTTAACTCATGGGTGTCGTGGAGAGAGACATAACTGCGACATATCAACATGACTGCGACAGGGCCTTTGTTGTCTTTGGGCCTTCTCAGAAAGGAGAAGTGCGTGTGTGAAAAAGGGTAGTTGAAAAAGCAATTTCATCCTCTTAAAAAGATACGTCAATTTTCATTACGAAAGAAGTGCAAATGTGTTCATTCCAGAAATCTTGGAATATGCAATTATTTTGAAACCATCAAGTACTCTTCAAGGTGTCAGAATGAAAAGAGAGATCATTTTTTGAATAAAAAATTAACATGTTCCTCTTGGCAATGGGAACTTGTTCTCTATAATTTTATGTTGCATCATTTATTATACAAAATACTGATTTTTATAAAAATGTGTTCCTTAGAGCCCTAGGAGCCTATGGCAGAAGCTGGGATAGCTACGGGGTGGGAGTATGAGGGAGCTGAATGAGTTAGTGACGATCTGGGTCTTTGCATCCCTATTGAAATTGCAGCTGCTCTCCTCTGTTCTGTGTAAAAAAAATTTTTTTTGGA